AGCCCGGGCCTGGCCAGCAGCACGCTTCTGACCCGAATTAATCCATCTTATTAGCCTGGCATTTGCGAAAGGAAGGAGCGCTCTCCTAGATGGCGAAGCAGCAGACTCAGGGCTGCAGAGAGGAGATGCTGCTTTGAGTGCTGATTGCTGTGTTGCCGAACATTTCTGGAGAGTAAGCCAGGACCTTTGAAACAATGTGAGGAGTCAGATACCAAAAGCAAAGCCTAAAGCCGTTTGCAGCAACCTTAGAAAACACGTGTGCTGCTAAGCCAGGGACAGGCAGCCTCCCCCTCCTGTTTGCTGATATTCATGCTGTCGCTTGTTTCTGCGTGGGACTTTGGGTTACAAAAAGGTGAGGGCTTACTGCTTCGATGCTGACCTGGGTATGAAATGCTGTCGGTTATTTCCTCAGGGCACGGCTCTGGTCAGCAACAACCCCAGGGATTAGAAGAGACGGAGCGATTCTGGTGACTAACGGGGAGTCTGTAGCACGGGTGTTCTCTGAAACCTGCGCTCACGGCACTACGTGTGCACTTCATGTTAGTGCTCACAGAGCCCTTCAGGACAGGACAAACTCCCCTTCGGTTTTCTCTGTAAGGAAATTGGAAATAATTCAGAGGCCTTTGCACCGGGGACTTGTCTTCCCCAGCTGCAAACCGCCAAACCTCCCCGGCTGCTTCCCCACAGCCCCCAGGCAAAGCCCTTTTCTGCCCTCCCCCCGCCTCAGCAGGGGATGCTGTGTCCTGCTTTGGCTGGGATAGAATCACAGCCCAGCCCTCCTAGGCAGGCTAGAGTCAGCCAGGGCAGCCACCCCGAGCCAGCTGCAGCTGTAGCCCATCCCAAAATGTCACGGTCACTGTACAGGGGGAAGGTTTGCTGAGGAGAGGGAGCTCCTGTGGGGTTCCTGCTGCTCCTCTGGCTTCTGAGGACTGCTCTCCGGTCGATTGTGACAACCGCACGTTCACTTGGCTGAGTAGAACTGTACGGGTCTGTTGCTACCGGTGGTGCTTCACTAAACCTGTTTCACTTCTACCCAGGGGGCTGCTCTCCTTTTTCTCAGTTCCCCTCCCTGGCTGCTGAGGGGCTGTCAGGGGACACAGCGACTGTTACAGTTTAGCCCTGGGTACAGGCTAAGCACAGACACGCTGCCACAGGGCCACCCAGTGCCGGGGGCCACCGCTGCGGCCGGGAACAGGCGCTCAGCTCGCCCGCTGCCCGGCCGGGGGTCTCGCATCTGGTGGGGGCAGGCACAAAACCAGCCTGCGGAGCGGCCACAAGCCCTTCCTCAGCTGCAGCTGCTCTGCTGGCACTGGCTGCTGCTCCAAAGAAATGGCGTCACCCATCAGGACCGTAGGGGCTCAGAAATCATTTGGGGCCGCTCCTAGAAGGCCGAATTCAAATTAAAACTGCATTAGCAACATAAACATCCAGCTCAGACAAATTGCTGCGAAAACTGTTGTATTGAAAACGTTCAGCTCCTTCCATAGTACGTCAGCTTCTTCGCTCCAGCACAGGCTGCGCAACCATCCTGCACCCTTGTCATTGCTCCTGGAGCAGGCCTTCATGCATTATTCCCGGACAGCCCTAGCACCAATTTCAGCATGACTACAAATGACAGCAAGGAATGGGTATGGACTAAAACCCTTCCACCTCCAGGACAGACCTATAGCTACCCAGACAACGCAAGGGCTGGTTTCTTTCCATAGCTCGGCAGCTTTCTGCTCTCTCCCAGTCCAGGCAAACAGCTCTCGGAGGTGAGAAGCGCCAACAAGTTTAGGTTGAAGTGGGCAAATCATGGGAGTTACAGGTCAACTGCGAAACATGCACAGCAAAGATGATCTGAACAACAACTGCTCGGGGTGGAGTGGCCCAGCAAACCCATGCCGACTGATTCAAAGCAGTTTCACCACAACACAATTCCATAGGAATTCTGGCTGCGTAGCCGGCGGAGGGAGATGCTGACGAAGCAAGTGCCCGCCCAGGACCATCACTGCTGCGAGTTCTGCTGGAGCACGTTTTGCAGGGTTTTGTGGCTCTGCAGGGCAGCGACCACGTCCTCGTAGAGAGCGTTCACGCTGATGCACAGAGGGTGACGTTGCAGCTCTGTCAGCTTGCAGGCGGCCAAAGCGCAGAGGAGGCCCAGCAGCACGAAGAGCAGGACCCGCAGCACCGACCGTGACCAGGAGGGCTTGTGCCGGGGGGGCTGAGGGGGACGGGCACTGGAGGCGGGCTCTGCAACGAGAACATTTGGAAGGCAGAGAACGTGAGCAATTCACCAAACCTCTGTAACAGCTTACATTCAGAAACAAGCTGTTCAGGTGAGATACTTCAGCCTGTGCTGCAGCTGCCTTTTGTCACAAACGTTCATCACTTAACCCCGATTCATAAGCAGACGTGCAGCAACTCTCCGTTTAGAAGGAAAAGTTTCAGATGCAGTTTCACAGGCAGCAGTGAAGAGGGCGAAAAGCACCTCTGTGTCGCACGAGAGCTGGTTTGGCACAGGCAGTTCCCCACGCTTAAAAAGAAAGGAGCGGAGGGATGCGCTCCTTAGGAACAGCGGAAGAACTTTCTGAACCTCGTAGCTCAGCAGACCCCTGAGAGCACAGCTGAAGGGGAAACGGGCACAGCAGCAGAGCTTATTACAAGTCCTACAGGTTCCCTCCTGACTCCCACCACCACCCAGGACCTGCGCTGCATAAAAGCACATCTGGCAGCATCAAAGCCTGAGGAAGACGAAATCTGACACAACCCCACCCAAAATGGATTACCACTTACTTCGGGTCTGCACAGTTTCTTTTTTAGTTTTCTTTTCCATCTCCTGTTTCGCAGCTTTCTGAGCATCATACGCCCGTCTTCTGCGTTCCTTCTCCTCTGCCTTCTCTCGCTTCCTCACTTCCCTCTCTTGAGCCTCCTTTGCTCGCTGTTCTGCTTCACGCTTCTTCTCCATTTCTGGGGATTAAGAGCAAGGTTTTTTCCTTTTATGTAAAGGGTTGTCATTGCCTTCTTCCTTATGACCTGTTGATCTGTTCCCAATTGTTAGGAGGAAACCAATCAAATCACTATCCTCTTTTTTTTTAATCTTTGTTTTTTTTTTTTTTAAATATCATATACCTTGTATTTTGCATTCACAGAATTAGGCTTCCCTTAAAATAAATCCTGTGCTTTTCCGCCACATTTTTATAGGTAACTTAGAGCACATTCCATCTAGTGATCTACCTGTTATCCAGGCAAGATATCACACAGTTATCCCCTGCTGCTTTTCTCCCCCCAGCCCTTGTACCCTACTACTCTCCGAGTCTTCAGGATTTTGACAGTTCCAAGTACTTGGTAGATGGCAATTGGTACATCGGGAGGTTTGGGCATGTCAGAGAGATCCAGAACAGCCCTCAGCAGACGGCACGGGAGGGCTCTGTGCTTACCTCGCTCTGCTTGGAGCTTCCGTTGCCGCTGTCGATCCTGCTCAGACTGGATCGCCTTCATGTGCTGCAGCACCTTCAAGGGCCAAGAAAACCACCTGAGGCCTCTGCAGAAGGCTCGTGGCACAGTCAGTTCAAAACAGAACAGCTGGAGCGTCGCTGAGGACAGGCGGCGGGGGCTGACCACCAACCCCGACTTACCCCCACAGCTCTTTCCACTAAAAACCAAACAGGGCAAACTGGTGCTCGGCGATACAGAGGATCACAGAGCCCTTCTGCTTACAGAAGTCTATAGTTTGCCACAACTTCTCCAGAGATTTTCGTACTCTGGACTATAAGCCTAGACATGGATTATTTTGTCCGATGATGCCTCCGCTTCCTTGGCAACCAGGATTTAGTCCTCTCTCAACTCCACTAAGAGAACAGAATCCTACTCCGGCCTGGGTTTGCTCTTTACAGGCACAGCAGCAACGAATCCTTGCAGTGAATCTGCCCCTCACTGCCTCAACAAACTTCAAACTGCTGCAGCAGCTACCCAGCTTGCTAAGCAATCAGAGGAAGAACCACCGCTGACGAAGCCAAGGAAGGACAAAAAAGAAGAAAAGCAGATTCCTTACCTTGACAGCAGCCTGTTTACACTGCTGCTCATCCAGACAATCTCCTGCTGCTTTAGCCAGGACAGGATCCAAGGGATTGTCCTTCAGATCCAGCCACTTCAGGTTCTGCAGGAAGGAACGAGAAAGGGGAGGCTGTAAGACCACAGTAGTTTTGTGATCATTTAAGAGATCAAAAGCAGAAGCAAAGAACTACTTAGTCTTCACATGAAGGTACATAAGACAAGCAGAGAGCTTGAGCAGAGACATTTCCAATAGATGTGAGACAATTTCCACTGAGCTGCGGTGCAGAGCCAGCTGAATTTTGGAACAGGCAGTCAGCAGCATGGATGCTTTACCAGAGAAATTAACTTGAGAAGGATCACAAGACCCTGGGCCGCATCCCAAAGCTTTACGTAACTGCCCAGCAAACAGTTTTACCTTGAGCTGTGCAAAGCTGACTGGCAGGGTGACTAAACGGTTGTTCAGAAGGTCCAGGTGCTGCAGATTGACCAGGCGGCCAAAGTCCAAGGGCAGCTGTTGAAGCCGATTTTTACTCAAATCCAGTTTCACCAGATGCATCAAACTGCAGAAGTCTGACTAAAACCCAAACATTAAAAAAAAAACCAAAACCAAAAAACAAACACAAAACCAGAAAAAGCTTGTCAGCACCTTTATGGAAGAACCTCAGCGGGGAGCACATGGAGATAGTCTGCACCCTATATAAGCCACAAACCCTTAACTTACTACAGCACTGTCACGGAGGAAAATCACTCTCCTCCTTTGCCCCAGAAGATGGAGGCAGAATACAGCAGGACAGATAAGCTGGACAGACTGACAAGGTGATGTCCAGCAATCCAATGATACAAACCCGAGTCTCTGCTGCTGCTGAAAGCCGGTCTGTATTCACGTGGGGATCCTCTGGCAGGAAGATACTGCAATCTTCATGCAGTGCAACCCTTTTCTCTCTTCTGCCTCAGCCAAAATCCCACCAGCACAGACCCGTCACTGACAGTACAGTCATTCAGCCACCCCAGGATGAGGGAAGTGCCAGTTCCAAACCTTCAGGCGAACCTTTACTGAAGCACTAGTTATCTTTTCTAACTATTTCCCAGCATCCCCACAAAGGCTCTCTAGCACCTTACCGGCAAGGAAATGAGGTTGTTACAGGACAAATCCAATACAGTAGCTTTTGGAAGA